TTCTTTTTTTTTTTTTTTAAAGATTTACTTATTTATTTATACAAGCACTGGGTATAGTCAGAAGCGCGGGAGGGTGAGAGAATTCACCAGAGCCAGAGCGGGGAACAGAGCAGGCCGACTGACGAAGTACACTGCTGAGGGGAGCAGCGGGCGCGGCAGGAGAGGTCTGCGCGCCATGTGGGACCCTCCTCTGGTGGCCGGGGAGCACCCGGGGATCGAACCTGCGCTGCAGAGGCTGTGGGCAGCTTCGCAACCCAGCGCTCAACCGCTGCGCCACCAGGGAGGCCCAGGATTGTGTTTCTTAAGTAGTAGTGTTTGACAGTACTAAGTTTATTATTTTATCTAGACTGTGATTCATATTTTAAAACATTACGTAGATTAGAGTTGTAGATGAGTATACACGTCAATAAGACTGCCTAAGTTTGAATGCCATTTCTGCTACTTACAGTTGTGACCGTGGGCAAGATAATTAACCTCTCTTTCACTTTCAGTTTAATCAGTAAAATTTGCAAATTAACAAGCCTATTTTTATGTTGGGTGGGTGTGAGCACTAAATGGATTCAGACATGAAATGCTCTTAGTGCAGTGTTTTGTACAACATATGTACACTGTAGTAGGTGATGGTTTTATATATTTAGATTGTATGTACATCACTAATATTTTCTAGAAGTCAATTTACTATAAATGAGTAATAATTGAAATTATAGGAATCTCCTTTAGAGTAAAATTAAGAAAACTTCTAGAACCAGCAACAGATTACAACAAAACATTGAGGAGCTAAAAGAAAGACAAGAAGAACCATTTAAGGAAATAAATAATAAGTGGTCAAGGGAAAAAGGTAGAAAGAGCATTAGATAGTTATTAAAACTAGTAACATAGGTTTACACTTAATGATATTCAATGTTACATAGTTGGAATTTTTGTGGTATTAACATCTGTATGAAATTTAATTTGGAATATTTTCCTTTTAACCAGATTGTGGGACAACAAAATGTATGTCATTAAAATTCACTTGCCTGCATGTACTGAACCATGGTGATATTTATGTATGTAGTATTGACAGTAGGTAATGTGACTTGAAAGATCTTTTAACTTACCTTCATACACAGTTGTGGTCCCCTGAGCGTAATAATTTGCCTCACAGAACAACTAGGGACCAATAGTATTGTAAGTAGTTACATATATTTTTAAAAGTTCTTATATTTCATTGATTAATGATGATTAATCTTGACAACATTTTTGAAGGAAAAAAAGATGAGAACCAGAGAAATTGCTAATTAAAAAAACATTAGCCTCATAAGTGGAGCTTTCCTTTCTGTGAAGCTGATCTCTCCCATACAAATACCAGTCTTTGATTGTGTTGTCAGTGAACAAGTTCATTGATTCATGACTGTTTTATCAGTCACAGTCTGCTATGTCTAATGCTGTATACCAGCGATGGGGGTGACATGGTTTAGCAAGTCAGTGATGAGTCCTCAATAAGTCTTCATTCTTCATTGACTTCTTTCAGGTCCTTGTTTAGAAAATGAATATTGTGAGAAAATCACTCAAGTAATTATATCTAATATAATATAAATCTCAAATGGATTCTAAGCATAGTTATTACATCCTACCATATATCGGCACTTAAAGTAGTTAAATTATAATCACTGTCAGAAGTACAGTATAGAATAATATAAAGGGTGTGTGGACTCCAAGTATGAAAGATGGCTATAGAAAAGTTAAGAAAACCTTTGTGGGGATCATTCTGGAGCATATGTAGAAGTTAGCCAGTCCAGGAGCACACAATGCATACTTTGAAAAATGGACAGAGTTTAGATAAGAGGTGAGAAAGAATGATGATCTTGGAGGGAAAAATAATTCTATATTATGAGGCTTGCTTTTTGTCTGCTTTGAATTGATCCTTTGTCAGGAATTTGCACAAAAATACAGAACTGAGAACAATTTGTAAATAAAAATTCAAATCTTGATCTTAACTGAAAGTGAAATCTGAAAAAAAATTAACCCTGTGAATACTGACACTCAAGATATTTTCTAATTGATTATAGTTTCAATTTTATTAAGCATCCATCCATTTTAAAAGTTATCTCTGATAATGTCATATATATATATATATATATATATGTCATATATATATAAATTACTTTGTTGAAACATTTCATTGTCCTCTCTGTTATACATTTTGCTTTACTGTTTGATTAGAAACAAATGCTCAGTCTACAACCAGTAAAGGAAGCAATTTGTGTTTAATATTAGAATTTTGAAATATACAGAAAAATACAGCAAAATAATCATGTTCCCATCACTTGCATTGTACTTGAACACAGAACTTTTAGAAGTTTCATTTCAACACTGTAATACTGAAAAACTAAACCTAGGTACCTAGCAATAGGTGAACAGTAAATAATTTTTTATTCTCTTTCATTTCTACTTACATATATTGACCTAGAACATTTGCCATAGTAAGTGTTGAGTTTTTAACTAATCAAGTTAATTGTTAGCACATTGGAAATGTATATACACATAAACTGTCTAGTTAATTATATGTCTTCATTGTGAAAGAGTGACAGTGATAGATGTGGTCGCTGTTCAACTAGATACAAGTCATCAGCAGGAGCAAGAAAATGCCCTTTTTCTCCATTCCTGAACTTTTTTTTTCTTCAGTCCTCCTTTCCAGGCTGCCTTTCCCCTTGTTGTCTTTGTTTTTCTACTTTGGACAATCCTAAGGGTAACTGCTTTGATTTCTCTAGCTCCTGAGCTCTATAGTCTTTATAATGGAAAAGTGAGTTTTGTTCATCTCAGCCCTCATACTTCCTGAAATTTGAGAGATCAGCCACATAGCATGTTTGAAGAAGTGCAGATGGATGCCTGTAGAGGAAGTCTGAGGACTGAGAGGAGTTAGAGACTTGGCATGAAATTGTACTGGAGGGATAAACAGGGACAGTGTACCCCATGTAACAATTTCAGAAGTACCATACGCCATGTATTTTATATCTGTCCATTCTCTCTTTGACTTTTAAGCCTACACACACTAACCTCTAGCCATGCTGAATTTCTTCTAGCTCTTTGAAATGCTATTCAGCAAATGCTTGCTGAACACTTAATATGTGCAGGGCACTGCTCTAGGCAAAAGGGATACACTGTTGAATAAAATAGGTGTGGTCTCTGCCTCACGTAGCTTATAGTCTGGATAAGGTAAGTATTTGAGCAACTAGAATACAGTCTACTAAATGCTAATTAATATAGGTAAGTGTTACAGATAGAGAAAACTAAAACAATGACAGTCAACCAAGTCTGGGTTATGTCCTGAATGATTGAATAATGCGTAAGATTTAGTAAGAATTAGGGTGAGCATGGGGATAGAAAGTGGAGAGACTCAAGATAAGAGTATTGTAAGCAGAAGAAACTAAAAGTATGAAAGCCCAGAGATGAGAAATAACAGCTTTTTTCCAAACATATTTCTCTGCTCTGTCCTTAGCCCGTTGGAGTCTTCTCCTGGTGGAAGATTGAGCCTTTAAGAACACAAATTAATATTGTGTCAGTCTTAACACTTAGAATCCTCTGCTCATTTCCTATCTCAAAATAAAAATCAACTTTCTCATCATTATATGCAAAGCCCAGTGTTTTTGATTTGCATTCCTACAATATTTCTGATCTTTCTTCATTCAACCAAGTTTAGTCCACTTCAGCCACCCTGACCTGTTGCTGTTACTCAGACATTTCCAGGCTTGATTCTGTATGATATCCTTTGCATAAACTGTTCCTTCTGGAAGCCTTCTCCAACATGATCTGCTTGGTTAATATCCTTACTTTGTTCAGGATTCTGTTCAAGTCAAAGAAGCCTGTACTCACAACACTCAATAAAATAACCTCCTCAGCCCTACCCTCATTACTCTTGCCAACCTTATTCTGCTTTCTTGTCCTTAAATAGTACTTAAAAACAACCTGAAATTTGTTTGGTGGTGGTGCTGTATGAATTGTTAGATCTTAAGCAATATGAAAATACAAACATCATAAAAATTAGACATAGTAGGTTATGGTAGGATATTTTGTTTAATTTTTTTCTTAGTATTTTGCCAAGCATTTAAGTGCCAAGGTAAATTTATGTGATAAGTAAAACCTACTTGAATTTTTTTAAGCCGATTGAATTTTTGAGTTTATTTTTAAAACTTATTGTCTTATAATGATTATAGCTTACATTTTCAGTTTCTTAGCTGTTAGTAAAGACACAGAGTATTATTTACTGCTGTTTCAAATTTTAGTTACTTTTGTTCTTTTTGATGTTGAAGTTTGAATCATTGAGGTGTGGTTATGTAAGTTTCAATGTTGCAATAGTTTTTTTTTTTTTTTTACCTGTATTTTAATAACAAAATACTTAGGTATTTGTCTCTAGCATTTTCCCTGAAGGTTATGTTGTTATAAGCTGTAGTTGCATCCAATTACAAATATAATCACCACATATTATATAGGCAGTGATTCAGCTGTTGTTCTGTACTCAGTTATTTAAAAAAGTAAAAATTTACACTGTGAGTTCTAAAAAATAAACTGGTTGTACATAGTCTCAGGTTACCTGCTGCACATATTGTTAGTTTTAATAAATGCTGATTATTATTCTTATTCATCATCATATTCCCTGTTTTGTACATGATTCCTGCTTTCCCAAAGCATCATGTGCATAGCTTGAATAGAAAATAGTCATGGATGAACAATGAAATGGCTATTCAGTGTTAAACAGTGGGAAAGATGATCAAGATGTTATATCATAGCTTGTTGCTTCATATCACTGGCAATGCCAACTCCTCCTTTGTTCTTTTTTCCTATGTAGTGCCTTCCCAGTCATAATCTTGCTAACTACAAGTTGAATTGGTAATTCCACATGTCAAATACAAGTGTTAATTTTTAAGTCATAAATTAGTAGATCAGCAAGCCATGAAATGTTAAAATGTAAGGATTATCTTTCTGTCACAAATATAAAGTTTTTTCTCTTGCAAAAATTATAGGGGATGGAGTGTTAGATCTCTCTACAAAGAAAACCAGCATAAAATCTGAAGAGTCATCCCTATGTGATCCTTCTTCTGAAAATTCAATGGCTGGGTAAGCAATATCTAGGAAATATAATAGTAATATAAAATAACTCTTCAGAGGACTCTTACTACTATTCTGCATAGGTTGACAAATACAATTTTCCTCCAGAATTGTCACTCATAAGTGTGCGTCTCTCATACCTTTCATTTGTCTTTTCTCTTTCTTTTTTTATTCTTTCTGTTAAAGAAAAGTTATCAGAACAATCACCAAACTTTAGTTCATGTTACCAAATGAACTACCAACTTAACCATAGAATACAAACTGAGAAGCAGGACAAGTAAAGAGAATTTTAAATTAAATATTTAGGAGGCAGTTTTAAGAAAAATAATGTAATTTCATTACTTATTTTTTAAACAACCAACAAATTTGAAAGGTACTGTACTTATTAATTCTTAAGGCTAGCATAAAATGTTTACTTTTTTTTCCATTATGCTTTTGGTGTGGTGGCAAACTATTTAATACCTCTAGTAATCACCACAAAAAGTCATTTCATGCTTTGAAAGCTGTCATTAAATTAATAATTAGTAGTGAAATGCTGTTCTGTTGGATTTTGGGGTTTTTTGGTTTTTTTTTTTTTTTTTGGAACCTTTGCATCTTCCCATGAAAACTGCATAGGAATCTTATTGTCACATTTAAATCTTAGGTATAAAGTACAATTTGTTTCAACTAATGCTATAATAGAATTGGAGTCATGAGGTATAGTAACTTTCTATTCAAGAAGCTTTTAAAACTACAATGATAACATTTGAAAAAGAAATAACATTTATAATATCTAAAATTATTTTATCCAGATATAACTATCTACTTTTTTCAAATTTTAAGTTTTTGTCTAGAGAACAATTAGTCTTGTGGAAATATGGGATGTATGTGTTTGGAAATATTCTTGCTGCTACAAATTTCCTTTAAAGGGGTTGACTCTTTTATTACTTGTTTAGCGGTAACGTCACGTTTCTACTAACAAAAACTCCTTAGGATTTGGGTATTTTTTGATAATGGAACTCTAATTGTACAAATAAAATTTATAAGTGTTGCTCTGCAAGCATCTATCAGAGGAATAGCAACATCATGAGAATATTTTTACAAATACTGAGTTAGGATTTTATGTTCTTGGAAGGTCTGCCCGTTAAGGCCACCGTATGATTGACACATTGTCCTACCAGGACTGTAGCGTTGGCTTTGATAAGGAGTAACTACTACATCTCACAGACTTAAGAGTCATAAGCAGTGATGTTACCTAAGCAAGGAGTATAATAAAGGAGTGGACCCTCCCCTTCCATAGCTGTGTGAGAGTCTCTCATGCATCAGTTTACCATCGTTTCATTCCATCCATCCAGGAGACTACACAGAAACAGAGAGGACTATGTGGAAAGAAGTGCTGAGTTTGCAGATGGTTTGCTCTCAAAAGCTTTGAAAGACATTCAGTCTGGAGCACTGGACATAAATAAAGCAGGCATACTTTATGGCATACCTCAAAAAACTTTACTTCTCCACTTAGAAGCCTTACCAGCAGGGAAGCCTGCATCTTTTAAAAACAAAACTCGAGATTTCAATGATAGTTACTCATATAAAGACAGTAAAGAAACTTGTGCAGTGCTGCAAAAAGTAGCCTTGTGGGCAAGAGCTCAAGCAGAGCGCACAGAAAAAAGTAAACTCAGTCTACTTGAAACCTCAGAATTAAAATTCCCAACAGCTTCCAGTTACCTCCATCAGTTAACTCTACAGAAAATGGTTACTCAATTTAAAGAAAAAAATGAAAGCCTACAATATGAAACGTCACATCCTACTGTACAGTTAAAAATTCCACAGCTACGAGTAAGTTCTGTTTCAAAACCACAACCTGATGGTCCTGGTCTACTGGATGTTATGTATCAAGTTTCCAAAACCTCTCCAGTCCTAGAAGGATCAGCTCTCCAAAAACTGAAAAACATACTCCCTAAACAGAACAAAATTGAATGTTCTGGGCCTGTAACTCACTCAAGTGTTGACTCTTATTTTCTACATGGGGACCTCTCTCCTTTGTGTCTTAATTCTAAAAACGGAACAGTTGATGGAACCTCTGAAAATACTGAAGATGGATTGGATCGAAAAGATAACAAACAGCCCAGGAAAAAACGTGGCCGTTATCGGCAATATGATCATGAAATAATGGAAGAGGCTATTGCAATGGTAATGAGTGGAAAAATGAGTGTTTCCAAAGCACAAGGAATTTATGGGGTACCTCACAGCACTTTAGAATACAAGGTAAAAGAAAGATCTGGAACACTGAAGACTCCTCCGAAGAAGAAACTCCGATTACCAGACACTGGGTTATATAATATGACAGATTCAGGGACTGGCAGCTGCAAAAACAGCAGCAAGCCTGTGTAGATTACTTGTTAGGAAAATGTTTGTATGTGTGTATGTGCGTGCGTGTGTGTATGTGTGTTTGCATATGTGTGTATGTGCACAGGTGTGTATTTGTGTTTCTATACACACATGTGGGAATTACAGATGCTCACTCTGACAGGAGACATGGAATTTTACAGTTCAAAAACCACTTACATGCCTTTTGAAAAAAGTTTTATTCAGGGTTTTCACTGTGGACAGAATTATATAGTTGCTTACTTAATTCTGATAGTTTGTATTTAATCCTTGTATAAATAGGTGAAAAAGATTCAGGTTTTCTTTAGTAGTCAATAGCATAAAGCGTTGTTGGAAAACAAGTAATTGTCAAGTGAAACATTTTTATTGGTGAAAGACCACTCCAGCCATTCAGTTGAACCATCTTATAATGGAAATATGATATTAATAGTTTGTAACACTTTTATATAACATTCTTACAGTTATTGTAAGTATGTGAAACACCCAATCAAGGTTTAAATAGACAGCTCCATACTAAGGAAAATTAATGTATACAGTATTAGTACACTACAGTGCATTCTATGAAATACAAAATGCACTCAGGTGCATCCACCCGGAATAGAAAAGAAAACCTTAAATGATATGTGTAATGAATTTAATATTTATCATTTAATAGTTGATTTAGCAGGAAGTTGGGGTTTATAAGGTATATACTTAAAAAAAAACCTGACACATAGTTAACCCCAGCAACGATAGAATCCTTTAATGGAATATGAGAACAAAAAGTAATTTAAATTTAATTATTAAAATAATTTAATTTCATTTTTCATTTGAAAAATAAGCTAATGTGTAAGGTTAGAAAAGAAAGTTGGAATGCAACTTAGAGCATGTTTATAATGTGCACAGAAAAAGCTTGAGAATGATAATTTTGGTTTAAATGTGCTGGTTAGTTGATGTTATGACTACTTTAAATTTTAAGGATTGTGACACACTCCTACTATTGAAAAACCTCAGTGTAACTTTAATATATTTGCTGCTGTGACATTTCAAAACATTTTCAGTTTATCAAAATGAATCACAGATTTCATTTTGGTGGGCGATACATTATCATTTTGCTAATAACCAAATTTGCAGTTTGTTCAGGGTCTTGAATAGATTTACAAATATTTAACACTGAAGCTGTTTTGAACTTTCAGTAATGTAAACTCTCTAATTGGGTAGTTAGAAGCTGGGCAGTGCATTTTAACTTTTACTAGACTCATAAGAGAGACCAATAATTTTTATATAGCAGTTTTAAAATGTGGTTCAGAGTATCCATGTTGGATTTATGGAGTATGCAGTTTTAGTGGTAAAATGTATAAAGCATGTGCCTCCATATAAAGGATGGGGATTTGCTTCATATAGTCAAAATTTTCCGAGTGCCCCTTTTCTCTGTTAAAATTCAGGTTTTGATCATTTTTCTAAGCCAGTTGTCCTAAGTCCAAAAGGAATACTTAAGCTGAATTAAAAAAATAAGTGCACCTTGTCAAATACTTGTGTTTTTACACTCGTGTTTGTGTGTATCTAATAATCACATATACATGTAATACTAAAGAGATTTTCAGCTATTACATTTAAAAACTGCTTACATATATTTAAAAAAAACTGAAGAGTGGGAAACTGTACAACCAAGTCGTTGTTTGGTCTCTTAGCCCTATACCGACCCCTCTTCAGCTGTTAATGTTACCTGCTACTAGGGTATGAATCCTCTTGCTCTTTTTTTTTTTTAATTCTCTCAAGAAAGAATACATCATAGATTGCAAAACAGCAGATGTCAGGGTCATCTTTCTTTTTAAAGAATTAAGCCATATTTTGTGAGGGCCGGAACTTGGATTATTTAATATATCCCCCCTGACCCCCATTGAAAAACAAAGTTAAAGATTAAAATAAATGTTTCAACACAATTTTATTGACCTCTTTATACAGAATTTTACTTGCAAAAATTTGGGGGTTTGAATGCATTACGTATTTGTATGGTATTGAGCTTTTTTATTCCTCACACTATATTTACATTAATAAATTGATTGAGAAGTTTATAGTAAAGGGATACTTACAGAACACTTTTATATCATTTAAAAGATGACCTGACCAAAAACTTTACAGGATTCATAAAATCAGGGATCATTTTGCTATTGACTTCACAGTGATCAGTAGTTTTATAGGTGATATTATAGTTAATTTGCAGCATTTTAGTATTTGTATTATTTATTTTTGGTCAGAAATAGTAAATTAAAATATTTTTTGATAGTTTATAGGTAATGATCAACCCATAACTTTTAAAAGAAACAAAATGTTTCTAATTATTGAGTTAACTTTTGATTATACAAACTAGGAAAGGCAGGGAAATTTATGGGATCCCCTTCTCCCCAGTGATTCTATTCAGATGTTCTTTATGTTAAATTTTCAAAGTACTTTATAAATTTAGTTACCAGATACTACTTATTAATTGACAATTTTCTGAAAAATCCAGTTTCAGCAGACTTTTAATGAAGGTGAAAGCAACCTGTATGTGCTTTCTACTTATTTGAATGTTCCTCAAGTATTTTATATTTAAAAAAAAAAAAAAAGGAAAAGAAAAAACAGTGCCTCTGTTTTTAGAAAACTACTGCTCAGTAAAGTTGTTTAAACCATTTCTGGTAGCTAATGACAATTTTATATTAAATTGTATACTAACTTTAGTGAGACTGATTTTTTTAGTTGTTTACAGTACAAATACTTGTATTTGTTTTTTAATTGCAGTATTTCCATTGTCGCAGTAATTTAGTAAAACTCTGTGGCTGCCTTGATTTTGACAGATTTTGTTAATATAAACTGATTGTTAGGCAATTAGTTATATTTATGCATAAATCAATTGCACTATAATTCATGAATTATTTATTACAATATTTTCTAATGAATTCATGTATCTGTCTTGTGTTGTAAATGTACTGTAATTCTGTTTCTACTTTGTGTTGTTATATATCTAAATCTGATTGTATGAATTTTAATTGTTCAGTTAACGTGTTTCTAGGTTGTAATTTGTAGTAAAGCACTTCAATGCTTTTGCACTTAAATTTACAACACTGTTGGTGTGTGATTGATTTACTCATTCAGTAAAGGAAAAAAAGAAAAGCAAGAAAAAACTGACTACACTGACTTCTTTGATTCACTCTAGGAAGCAGTTTTATTAATAACTGAAAATTGACTTTATCCCAAGAATTGTTTGAACAACAAAATTTGTAATGGGCAAAATGGATTAGAAACATACTTACAAAAAATAAGCGGGGTGTTTTTGTTTATTAATCAGACAGGGAAAGACTAGAAAAAAAATGTACAAAACAAGGGAACTATGACAGTTAAAATTTTAGAACCTTTATGTAATCACTTGAGAATAAATTCTAGATTGGAGTTTATTCAGGTACACTGCATTCACATATTAGGTGATTCTTTGAAATTCTAACATGTAAGAAATACAGGCAGGAAAAACTGTGACACCAAATATGCATGTGTATAGTTTTTAAATTTGAGAACATGGTTATCTAATATCTAATAAATTTAATCTATAGTTATGTATATATGAATATTTGTAACAAGTTATTTTTCATACAACATTAGCTGGAAATCTCTAGCCACTGGCAATTTCAAAATTCCATTATTTAAAGAAGTAAACTGAATAAGAAACTTTTAATTAATTATAGATTTCCTTAGACTCAGAAGAGACAAAAATCAGTAGTTTTCAGAATGCTTAACAATAGTTGTTAGTTTTATTATTTCTAATTTGTACTTGACCTTACCAACAGAAAAAAACCTTTGGGAATTTCAGGAACTGTTACGAAAATATTAAGTTTTAAAATGTAGTGTCATGTATTCTGAAAAACTTAAAGTCACTATTTAGTCATAGATATGTTTAGTAGGCCGTAATGTAACTTTAAAGAAACTGTGGAAGTGTTTCTATCATTGCTTTTTGGGGTTTTCTTTTGCTTGTATGAAAATTATAATTATAAATTTGCTGGAAAAGATTTTACAATACTACTTTCATCTGCATTCTTGATAGTTAACATTTCCTCATGCCTTTGTTCTCTACATATTTTTTAAAATGATTTAATAGTGATTTTGAGAGTCAATTCCGTCATTCCACACTCCAATCATGATAAAAATTTGCAAAAAATCTTATCCCAGGATACTGGGCTCACGTCATGCCTTCATCTCTCTAGCGGCGGCAGTGAACTTAAGTTTTATTGTAATTTCATATCTCTTCTCACTTTGATAGCTACTTCACATCTAATCACATGCTCGTTTTAGTAAAACAGTGTTCGAATCTAGTTCTCTTGTTTTCTAGAAAAGTTTTGATCTAACGTTCAAAATTTACTTGGTGTCTTTGCTACTCAAATACTGTAATTTTTATAAAAAAATGTAATTACAATTTTGCATACTCAAGCAAGCTCAATGAAACAAGCTCAGTTTTAGGAAACTATTTAAAAATTAATTTCATTTTTCATTTTAAAAGAAACCTCCTTGAATTTTTTAATAGCCCATGAAAATTAATAGCCCTTAATTTAGACAGAATGCTTAAGTAACAGTTCATAATCAGCATATCCTGATTCCAACCCTAAATAAAATTTCTACATACCAGGAACTAATAACAAATATAAGAAAGTATGAGTGGGAGGCAACTTCATGTTCAGAGTTTGGTGATATGTTTAATTTAAATACTTTTCTGAAACAGAATTCTTTTAATATATTTTATTCTTCTTGCTGCTGGTTTTGAATTTAAAAAAAATTTTGTAGACTTCTACATTGATTGCTAAGTAATTTTGGGTCTTAAAGTTAGATGTATATTAGTTTCTCCAGTGGGACATTTTCCAGCATTTGAAATTAAATAATTAGGTAAGTAATGCCTTTAGTTTGGATGTAATTACTGTAGAATTTAAAATCAATTAAAACTAGATTTCATGTTTAAATAGCTTACATTTTTTATATTTTACTAGGTTAAAACGCCTGCAGCTTATTAGAGAAGACAACATTATGTTATTTATATGAAGTCTAAATCCCTTAATTTACCTTGTGACTATGCAAAGCTCTCTTTTATTAAAATTTTATTATCAATACCATTGAAAATATCATTTAAATAAAGAGAGGAGAATTTTTCCTACATCTGATTTTCCTTAACACTAATATGGACTGATAATTTTCAATATAACTATTAAAATGTGAACTTAACAAAAAAATTAACTTCTTCTGAAGCACTTTCCATTAGAGAGTCTTAACATATCCTAAGCACTAAACATTAGCAATATATAAATACAATCATCTATAATCATCAGCTTTTATAAAGCAATATTAGGGCTTTGCTTTGACTCATATTTTGTCATCAGAAATTATCAGTGCTTCATTATATTTCTGCTAAACAATAATCAAGATGTCATTATTACAGCTCTTATTATAGGAATTAGACCAGCAATACCAAAATACCTTTTGTTAAACTTAAAATTATAACTCCTTATAAAAGCTGGTATTTTTGCTGTAATTCATTTTTTGTTTGATTTTTATTTTTAGTTCAACTGTTGATGCAAAATCAGAGGAAGCTACTAAAATGGAAAAAGGAAAATCAGCATTAAGCAAAGTTTTGGAATCTTTGTGCACACATCACCAGCAACAAGTTTTGGCTATGTTGAAATTTCTAGCCCAAGAGCAGAATGCTGCTTCTCCTTGCTGTTATAATACATCATATACTGTGTCTTCAGAATCTCAGAAGCCCCTAATTGAAGATGATTTACATGGTCTATTTTGTAGCTGTGAATATAGGCTGGCAGAAAGAGGGTGTTTACCAAATGAAAGACAAAGCGCTAGTTTTGTTCCTCTGCCAGTCTGTATCACAGATTTACATTGTTTATCTTGCCAAACTGTAACTCTTGAACACATTAAGACAGTAGTGAATAGAGGAATTGTAAACAGTTCCAGTTCTCACAGGTGCTGCTCTGGATTATTACCAAATGTTCACTCCACAAGCTCGGCCTTTCACACTCCTCTCTCAGCAAGGGAGGTGTGTGACATTTCAGTCAGTCTTAAAGATGTTTGTAGGTCTCGAAGTCCCTCGCCCCCACCATTATCACCTGTACAGACTGAAGGATCTGAAAACTTCAAAGATGTCAGCTCAGAACTTTCAGCTTTAGAGAATAACAGACTTGAAGCAAACATTAACCAGCCTCCATCTCTCATACCAGCAGAAATCAATGGTGATAAATACGGTCATGAAGGTAAAATACATAAAGCTAACAAATCTAGTGACTCTGATTCTTTGCTGGAAGACAGCAATAATTATCCTACAAATCATGAAAAAGGTGAAACTATGATTTTTCAAGATTTAATGGATCGTATTAATGAAAAATTGAAATCAATAGAAACTACAGATATGACAAATCTTACAAAATTATCTAGTGGTGATTGTAATACAGATAATGATTTGAAGTTGAGAGATTTAATAACTTCTCTCTTGCATAATGCAAAGGCCAGTGATTACAGTTTTATGGAATTACTGAGTCAACATGATAAAAAGATAGAAAATAAAATTATTCAGACAAGATTTCGAAAGCGTCAAGAAACCTTATTGGCACTCCACAGTTCTCCTGATTCACCCATGATTAGAAGGCAGTCTTTACAGATAAAAAGAGAACTTGCTAGTCTTGATGACAATTTTTTAAGGAAAAAATACACTGAAAAAAGTTCGAGGAAATTGATGCGCAGTGACATCTTTTCAGTGGACAAAGAAGAATTCTATCATTACCAAGGGCCTTCTTTACAAGACTGTAAAAACCTTCAAGATAACAATCATGCAGAAACATCGTTTTCACCAGATTATGCATTACAATCATTGCAACTACCTCTACATAGTTTAAAAACTAACTTGGCTTTTAATACATTTTCAGAAAACTTGAAAACAAGTTCCTCTGAGAAAATGAGCGTAAGAAAATCACAAGAGAAATCTTCATCTGGGGGAAAAAAATTGCAAAATCATAGGGCATATCCAAAATTAGGTAATACTGAAAGTCCTTTGAAAAGTGACGTTCCTGGACTTCCGAGCAGAACTAGACGAAATATTGTGCCCCCTGGGTGGTATTCTATATATATAACAAATAATCATGTTTTTAAAAAATCCCCTAAGGCCAAAAAAATCCCCAAATCTGCAAAGAAAAAAGATTCAGTGAAAAATATTCAAATTGAAAGCTCACACAATATAGATCTAAACAAAATTGCAATAAGTTCTAATTTGCAAGTTGTTGTGGAACGTTTGGAAGATACAATAAATATGGCCCAAAAATCTTGGACTCATCAGTCATTATCAGGATATAAAGCATCCCAAAAATTGATAGAAATTGATGGTAAGGATCAAAATGTTGGCAAAAAAATGACTCCTACTCTAAGTAGAGTCGTATGCAAAGAGCAGACTTTATCAAAATCTTCGGTGCCATCTAACAACATCAAAAGTAGTCATATGCCTACAATAGACTTGACAACCAAAAGACTTGATAATCTGAAAAAGTCTGTTTCAGATAAAGGTAACTTGATTTCCAGTGTTGAAAATGTGCCAACAAGATATGAAGCCGGTGAACGCTTTTCTTTTTCCAACTATTCTAGTCCTGTCAAACTCATGTTTTTATCTGAGGTTAAAAGCAGTGAAGGAGTCAAATATACTTTAACTTCAGTTGGTGCTTCTGAATCAAACACTGATCATCCGTCTGAAAAACATCCAGCTTATCATGTAACTGAAAAAAAAAAAGAAACAAGTGACAGTATCCCTGGTGCTAACTTTGAAAATGGTAGTTCTAATCTCAGCGATAGTGACACTCTTCAAAGAGAACTAAACAAAAGTAATCATGAGAAACAGAGTATAGAACCCTCTGCGATGCTTGTAGATGAGAATAGTGATAAGCCCCAGGAAGAACCTCAGGAAAATTCAAGCAGTACTGTTGATTCAGCTTTTAAAAGAAAACCTGGTCGACCCAAGAAAATAGGTCCCCAGGTTGTAAAACAGATTAAGCGACCAATTGGAAGACCACCAAAACCTAAGGCTAATCAAACAGACCTCACCACTTGCCAAAACGACTCATTGAATGCTGGAAAGAAAAGCCCAGAATCTCTCCTATCAGAAGTAAAAGAAGGTATTTATAAAAAGAGTATTACAGTAACTGTTATTTTTGGAAGATCAAGAAGAGCTAAAAGGCACGTTTCTGAAGGAAGTATAAGCCTAAGCAATGCTGTGTCTTTAAACAATAACGCTGGTTTTCCAGCTGAATATAATAGTTTCAGAAATATTAGAGAGCACAAAATGGACTCGGGTGAAAGAGTAAGTGCTGTGTCAAAGTTGACTACTGACAGTGGGGTCATGGGGTCTGACTTTGAATATGTGAGACCTATCAAGGACAAGTCTCTGATACCTCAGCCTTCCAAGAACATTACTCGGCCAAATCAGAAGCCTTTAGCAATAATTAGAAAGCCTGGCAGACCTGCAAAAGTTAAAATCTCTGGCATATCTGTGACTATTAATAGAATTTCGCCTCAGGAAAGAGAAGTAACTATAAGCAGCTGCTTACCTCCTATAGAACCAGAGAATATGCTAGGAAAAAATCTACCTGAAGAAAAGTGTGATGACCAGCATGGTGGTGAGATGGATGTGAGGCCCACGGAGCCTGAAGCACTTCAGGATGCGCCAGAAAGTGTGGTTGCTGCGATACCTTTGCGACACTCGGTTAGGCATAGAAAACCATCTCTGCATTTCTTGCATTCATTATCATCTTCCAGCTCACTTATTTATAGAAATGCCCTGCTCCATAAGTCGTATAAGCTCCAGTTACAGAGAGGGACAAGTCAAAGGGAGAAACCTATGCAATCAAGGATAAAAGCTTCCAAAGGTACCTCAGGAGCTAGAAATTCAAGGAATACAAAAAAGTGTTTGGAAGATAACAAAATAATGCCCATTTCTGAAGTATCCTTGGATCCTATAATATCATCAAACCCTCTGCTCAGGTGGTGGACTGCTTCTACTTCAAATGATTCCTTGTTGGAGGAATTAAACAATAGATTTGAGCAGATAACAAATGCATGGGTGCAGGTGAGTGGAGATGAAACTGAAAATTGTGTTTATAAGAAAAGAGAACTCATTGAGAAGAACGATTTCAAGATAGCAAACCCTTTGGAAACCTGTCTTTTTGAACTTGAAGTTTCACCTGTAAAAATGCTTTTCCGGAAAAAGTACAATTTGAGCGAACTCCGTACCTGGTTTATGCAGACAACAGAAACACAGTCTCTTTCACTAGTTAGAAAAGCAAATGCTAGAAACCCTTTGGAAGTTATAAATACCAAAGGAATTAAGTTGGGGACCAAATATTCTGACTGTAATACCAGCCCCTTTAGAAAGCACTTTAAAAAATTTGCACTATCTTCTCCTTCAAAATCAGCAGGGAAGTTGCATATACTTCATAAAATGGTTAGCTCTCCACTCTTAAATGTAAAAACTAATTTAACACTAGCTAGATTAAAAAGGACTGAGTTTAAGAGGTTACACCATGAAAGGTGGAGAAGAGAGGGAAAGTTGCATAAGTGTGGAGCTACTGATTGGATCTCTAAAAAGAGGAACTTCAGATTTTTTTGCCAGAACAAATTTTTAAATAAGACCGAGGGGACAACAAATACTGATTTACCACTCCAAGGAAAAAACACAGGAAATAATCAGTTTATTTTGCCACCTGAACGCAGTGATGACTATTTGGAGGAGAAGGTGGCAGTGTCTGACTTGAAAACACTTGCTACTGTAGAGCATCAGTTTCAGCCAGAAGCAAAGGAGAATGGAACAAATTGCAGTGAGAAAGATTTTGAAAAGGGACCAAGACTAGGAAATATATGTCCAAATAATTGGAGGTCAAAAACCTTAAAAGACTGTAGAATATTTTTGAGGAAAATCAACTATCTTGAACACCGAAATACTTTTAAACTGAACACAATTATTTACTCTTCCGAATCTGTTAATGGTGGAAGTAATCATCAGACTGAGAAAGAAGAATCAAAGCGCTTTACCTTAAGATCCCATTCTGCTAGGCACAATTCCTTTAAAACGCAATCTAAAGAAATAGAAATTGCAAATACAAACAGTCCTTCAACAGACACAAACATTGGTCAGCTTGACAGTAGTAAATTAAATAAGTGTGTTAGCTATGACAAGAATTCTTCTGATAGTTCTGAAGCTGTTAGAAAATTGAACAAAAGAAAAAGACCACCATGGAAGACCACAGAAATGTCAGAAATGTCAGCCAAAAGACATAAACAGCAGTCTTGCAACAGTGGACAAATGGCAAACTATTATTCAAAATCCCAATTAGGTAAGTTTTTCTCTACTTAATTTTAAAGTTTCATTGTAGGTGCCTTGAGTACAGTCTGAGATACTGGGTAAAAACAAAGCAACTGATGCAGTTTTCACTTATTTCCAAATTATTTGAACAAATTAATTTCTTGGCACCTAGTCTGAAACTCATGAAATTAGGTGCTACTTAATGTAACAACACTCTTACCCACATCTTAATGTATCCAGGATTTCAAGCAAATTAAAATATATTTAGTGCAGACATTTAAAAAAAACCTTCTAAACATATATCATTAATATAAAATTACCTGCATGTGCATTTGATAGATAAAATTTTAAATATAGAAAGTGATTTGTCAGAAAAATGTGCCCAAGTAACCTAAAAGTTACTGCACCACAGACAAAGATGTATTGTCCTGATTGATAAATTAATAACTTTGAGACTATGTGGGAAGACCGACCTTTGCTTTGCTAAACTGATAAAGACTATAACATATATAATGATGCTATGATATCAGCCCACAGTCACTATTAACTGCTTTAAGGCTGCTCATTTAGAATGTTGAGAAACAAGATTTTATTTTTCAATAAATTGGCAAACTTCTTGAGTGGTTTTTTTTCATATCAGACATTGAATTAGATTGCACAGATAGAAAGATCAAGATTTCTTTTGACAGAATCTATAGCAGGGAGAAAGTCACAGACAGGTAATGTTAAGGTAATGCTAGATTCAGAATGCACTGAAATCAGTTTAGTAAGTAATTATGCGCTTTCCTCAGTTAAACTGACATGACATTGGTGTATCAAGGAGGCTGTTTTTAGAACCTGGCAGAAATAGGACATGAACTTGGAGTTCCAGTGTCGTAGTTCCTGGTCTGCCCCCTGGTAGGGGTTAGACAGTTCAGAACCTGTGGGAAGATGCCCATGCTTATTGATGAAGTCCCTGACTTGGAGGAGTGCCAGATTGTATTTGCAAGTTGAAGGGTATTTTTATCATGTGGTTGCATTGTACATTATACATTTCAGGGGAACTTTTGAGGGGCTGGTGGTTTTATTTTTATTACCTTTTTAAAAATGTTTTTAAAAGCTAAAGGAAATAGTATCAGGTCTTATAATAAAATATGAAAAGCAGTAATTAAACTCAAGTTTCAATAGGTTATTATTAAATAACCAGGTTTTTATGACCCCCCCAAAATCAATTACTTAACTGAATATCTTTAAAATACCTATTTTAATAATTAAAATGTAGTGATTAAAGTTTTTAATTATCTAACATGCAAGGATTAAAATTTAAAGATGGTCAAAAATAGTCTTCATTATGAAACATGAATCAAATCTAAAAATAATTTCCTTTGTTTCTTGCCCTCAAGCTAACTAAAAATAACATAACAAATAGAATGTCAGGCAAAAAAGGGGAAGAATCCTGATAATAATCTTTTTTTAAAACCTTGTAATTCATCTAAAAAATGCACACATTTTAAAAGCACTGCTATGAATGGAGAATAAAGTATATTTAACCTTTTTAAGACCATCCTCATTTCATTCTGGTAGGGTTTATCAATGTAGTTTGCATTAACTCGTTTTACAACAGAACCGTATTTTGTCCTTCCAGCCTCTTAACAAATTTATAAATAGAAAATTTATTTTAATATGATTCTTCACCATCTCACTGAATATGAGATCATCTTAGAAAAGATGAAAGATGCCTATTCCTTTCTCAAATTAATCAGAAAAAAACCCTTTTGGGATATTAGAAAAAAATTGGTATCTTTAAGGTTGTTTTTCATCTTTTCTCATTTTAAAAATTCTACTACAATTTCCTGTTCTGCTTAAAGCTTTATTTATATTTTGCTGATAACTTTCCTTCTTTATTTTCTAACATTTTTTTTCTATCTATCAAGGACTTTATTTTTACAAAGTTGTATTTATAGCCGTATTTGTTATTTATCTGATTTTACATGTTTCTAAAGTGTTATTTTTTTCTCATTCTTGGTTTTCCATACATCCTTTTTGCCTTTTTGGAAATGACACAAAAATTCATTATTAGTTTGTATCTGTTTTTCTTCTTTGTAGAATAACTGTTGATGGAGACTTTTAACAGCAGCACTTTTCTAGAGAAATCCCTAGGACAATGTATATAATGAGTTACAGAATATACCTATAGATGAAAAGTTTTCTAACACAAATTTCTTATTTTTGTACATTTCAAGTTTTAACTGTCTAGATATAGTTTGATACATAGAAGTTTTAAAATTTATACTTCTCTATATTTGTACTGCTATGTTGTCAACTGTGAACATGGAAAGGAGAAAGAAGAAATGTCATTCCTTCCTATTCCTGTTTAACAAAAATAAGCTCTTAGGCAATGTAGAAGGTTCCAAAAGTTCCTTTCTATTCATGAGTAAACCGTGCCTGCATCATTTATTTCCTCAGTATGGGAGCGTATTTGTGTTTGAATTGGGATATTACATGGTGTAATTGAATGGGTTGGCTGAAGTGCTGGTTGGTGCCCTCTGCTTTCCTCTGATGGAGGACAGCGATGAGCAGTTCTCATAGAAAGGTGTAAAGGCCATGGTCAAGGAGAGCAGTGAATTGTAGGAACATACAGGTGGAAAAATGACCCAGATTTTACAAATTAGACAAGGATCTTTGCATAGTCACATCTAAACTGAGACCTGAAGAACAACCCAGTTTTAGAAGTTGGAAACAGAGTGTTTCAGACTTAACAAACTGCGTGTGGAAAATTGGGTGACAGGAGGGATTAGCAGGCTTGTTTGGAACACTGAGCAAAATTTAGTTCATATAGTTGAGGCATCACATTGAAATTAAGGATGGGGCAGGAGTGGATACAAAGATGGCAAAGGGTAAAGCTACTAAGGGGAGTATCAGTTAAATGTAAAAAGTGTTCTGAGCCCAAATCATGACAGCATTGGAGAAGAATAGACATATTTGAGAGCCATCTGTGAAGTAGAATTACTGTGTTTTGAAGAAGAGAGGAATAAAGGTGTAACATCCAGGTTTCTGGCTTGAATAGCTGGGTAGATGATAGGAACATTCACTAAGTTTTAAGAGGGCACACTAATGTTTAGTTTTAGAAAAGGAATTTGAGGTTATCTGCTGGGATAGCTGAGAACAGAGGTATAGGAAGCATGGGTCTGAGTTGGAGATAAGATTTTGGGAGTTAGGAAATCATTGAAGCCACGAAAATGGAAGAGATTGTTTAGTGTAAAGTTCAGAGCCTATGATCTCAGAGCCCCAAAGATATGGAGAAGAAAAAAGATGTGTTCAAAAGGAGTCAGGGTAAAGAAAGCCATGAGCATGGTGTGAGGAAAGTGCTTCAAGTAGGGGGACCATCTCAGTGTAAACTGTTGAGGTTTGAATATAGAACAAGAGGTTATTTTAGTGATTTCGGAGCGAGCAATTTTGATGGAATAATAGAGCCAGAAATCTTAGTAAATGTAGAAAGAAGAAAGTACAGAAAACTGTAGATGGCAGTGATTGAACAGGAGATAGGGTGGTGTGAAAGGAAGCCAGGTTGAAGGTGGATTTTTAAAATTAAAGTTTGGATGTGAATGGAAAGAAATCTATAAAAAATATAAGATTGGAGATAAAAAAGGTGAAATGGCAAGCGATGGAGCTGAAGACCTGAATTGATCATTGGGCATCACAGGGCATCATTAGGGAGACTGGCCTTGGCCAGAGCGTCACCCCTCTTAAAACAGAGGAGCGCAAACATAGGTGCTCTCAGATCCAGCTGTAAGTTCATGGGCAGCTTGTTGAAGATAAATCAAGAGGTAGTCTAAGAGGTATTGGGCGGGGGGGCGGGGGGGTGGGATTGGGTATTTTGAGATGTGTGGATATGGTTTAAAAGACTTTGAAGAAATAAGAGGATTGAACAGCTGTGTGATTTTATCTCAGCTGCCAGAATGTAAGCTTAGAGGAAGGTGGGCACTTGATTCAATAGGAGTTGATTCACCAAGGTGGTAAAACAGAAGGACAGAAATCAAGCCGAGAATTCATTCTGCAAATAATGAGAAGCCCTATGACCAAACTGTAAGTCTGGAGAGTCTTTTCTAATAGTGCCACCAATGTAGATGGGGGAGGGAAGGCAAAATGGGGTGTGTGAATAGCCAATTGCAAGAGGTGATTTTTGAGGTCATAATGACCTGAAATGGAGTGACTGTGGAAAATAATAATCATATAGACCTTTTAAGTACCAGTGTCTTTTGAGTTCCCAAAGTAAATGTTTGCCTTTTCCTAACTGATTTGCATACCTCTGAGGAAATTTTGAGACTAGAATAACCTACTGTGAACTTGACACAACTAAACTGATAGTATTCATCCTAAAATTTTAAGGTTTTCCATTAAAATTGAGAATCCAAGCTGAATGGGATTCTGAGATAACTGGAAAAAGTTCCTTTTGTCAGCTTCTCCCACTTTGTCATCTGTCTTCAAAATTTCCATTCAGAATTCTGATTTTCGCACAGGTATGTAGTTGATGAAAAGTGCAGTCCTTCAACTAACCATGCCCCCTCCTCTGGTCCTGCTTGTGAATGTCTTACCATAGTTTTTAAGTTCTAACTCAAGATGTTCTTTTAAACTTGTATGGTTGAGGCAACGCTTGGCACAGAATATTCTGAAACATTTTAATAAAATGTAGTTAGATTTTCTTCATGAGTTCTCATTCAACATCCTAAGTATTTAATGGGGAAACTACAAAGCGTGGAGTAGATGATTTCCTAAATTTAATTTTGCTAGAAAAACATTTCCAGATGACTCAGTCACCTTCATCTGGTTTGCTGCTCAAGCATTCCAAAAGATGCATTCTAAGAAGCACCAGTCCCCCAGGCTGGCCTGTGTGCAAAAGGTCCTGTAGGCTTTATAACAAGGCGAAGTGCTCAGTTCTCCTTCCTGTTCTTACTGAGTCACCGTGTCCCAGTGGATTTTTCAGACTTTATATATGTCACAACTTTTTACCTCTCACAGCACAGTCTGGGGACCATAACTTGGGGAATCCTG